GATTTTGAGTATGGGTGTTTGCATGTGTTCGTGTCCAGAGATTGTCTTGAATTCAACTTTGTATCTCAGGTACCTGGCACTGCGCTGGACACATAAGCACCGAATACATCCATGTGGCATGAATGAAAGGGTGCCAGGAACAGAACCTTGTATTGCAGAAGATACTGGCATGTTCTTTTTTAACCCCTGTGGTAAAAACAAAACAAAACAAAACAAAAACCCTGTGGTACTATTTTCAGGCCTCCATTCCACCACCTTATCTCCCCCAGCAAATGCTGAAATCCTCACATTATTAATATGCATATTTATAACAAGTGATGATTTTCACCTACACCTGCCTGGTGAGAAGAGTGAAGGTTTTTCAGAAGTAGAATGAATTCCAATCTTTGGGGATCTTTTGTAACTTCTTTATGCTTCCACTTCCACTTTCGAAAGACAAGTGCAGTTACTTCTGCTGCTGTCACGGAGACTACTGGTATTTCATAAGCATGCACCTAGGGCCGGACGATGTGCTCAGGGTCTTATACACATCACAGTGTTTAATCTGCACAACAAACCTGGAGGCAGGTCTTCTTATCCTCATTTCACTCTGGCTCAGAGACATCAAGCCTCTTGTCTGACGTCACCCAGCCATCAGGCAGAGCCGGAAGAGGGTTGGTGACTGTTGTGGGTTCTTGATGGCTGGCCCCCCATAAACAGTAGCTATTACCGTGAGGGTCATAATGCAGGAGTCCCTGAGGCATGTGACATGATGAGTGTACAGCATTTTAATTTACGTTTATGAGCTCATTCCCTCCCTGATAAGAGAGACAGTCAGCACAAAAGCTCTCTATGCTCCAGGGGAGAGGACACTTAAGGATGTGTTAGAAGGTAAGGATGTGGGAAGTGAACACATTATTCCATAATTGTAATTGTCCTTTTGAGGATATCCTCTACAGCATTCAGCTATGGGGGTGTGTGAAGGTAGGGAACAGGAAACAGAGGCTCAGACACATGTTATCAAGTCCCAATCTACCCATGGTGGAGCTAGATGTGCTATCGTCTTGAATATTACGAAGAACAGGATGCAACATTCTTCTTTTCTCTCCTAAGAGAAATCTGTTGCTGTACCATCCGCCTTTGGGCCAAGTGTGGCATCCCACAATGTTTCAGCCGACAGCTGCCAGAACAGAACAATAACACTAGCTGTGTTATCTGCTGACACGGAGGACAGGAATACGCTTACAGCCTAGACTTGGCTTCTTGCCTCTTGTTAAGGCACCAAGCAGCTGGGCTTACTGACAACCTCCCTGAGACACGCGAGCTTACTCTAGCACTATTTAAATCTCTCTCTGTGGTGTATTGCCTTGTTTCCTTCAAGCCTGTTACCCCTTAAATCTCACTTCTCGTTTGTTTGCATCCCCTAGACTAAAGGAACAAGAATATGCGTGCATCAGAGGATGTGAATCTGGGGGGTGGTAGACCCCAGCTTGAATAGGCTTCAGGCCAATCTTGAAACAAACCTTGATATCTCAAAAGGTAAGACAGAGGCTCATGCACTCTTGATTTCTGGAGGCTACGGGTAGATTAAAAAGTAAATATGCCTTTGGGGTGACTGGGTAGCTCAGTTGGGTAAGCACTCGACTCTTGATTTCAGCTCAGGTCATGACCTCAGGGTCTTGAGATGGAGTCCCACCTTGGGCTCTGGGCTCTGGGCTCAGTGGCTCAGAGAGGAGTCTGCTTGAAGATTCTCTCCCTGTGCCCCTTCCACAACTCTCTTTCACACATGAAAGCTCTCGCTCTCCCTCTGCTCTCTCTGTCTAAAATAAATAAATAAATCTTAATTGGAAAAAAAAAAAAAGCCTAACCTTTGAAACCCAGACCAATGAACAGAGAGAATTCCTCCTATTTAAAACTGAATCCTCTTATTTAAATTATTATTTTAGAGCTATTATTTATAGCTTTATAGAGAGACAGAGACACAGGCAGGGGCAAAAACAGGTTCCTTGCAGGGACCCCTGGGTGGGACTGGATCCCAGGACCCCAGGATAATGACCTGAGCCAAAGCCAGACGCCCAACCACTGAGCCATTCAGGTGCCCCCTCTCTTACTTAAATTATAAAATCTTTTAGACTTGAATTTACTTAATATTGAAAACTCTTTAAAATGACTTGCTGGGTTTTTTTTCAAATGTGTAGCCTTGAAATTCTTATATTCTTTGCCCCTCTCCATCCCTATTCTAGAATACACGCAGGTTAAAAAAAGAACATTAATCATACTGGGTAGGCAGTGGTCTAAACCCCACTCTGCTGCTCCACAGCTGTGTGACCTTGTGGAAGTGCTTTCCTACTCCCATCCTCAGCTTCTCTATCCCTAAGATGAGATGGTAATTTCCATTTCTCAAGTTCCTTTTGAGCTTTAAAAGGCTATGAGTTTTTCTTATTCCCATTCCACACTTCCTGCCAAACTGGCCCCAGAATCTTTTTTTTTTTTTTAAAGTAGGCTTCATGCTCCGTGTGGAATACAACACGGGGTTTGAACTCATGACCCTGAGATCAAGACCCAAACTGAGATCAGGATGAGTAGGATGCTTAACTGACAGAGCCACCCAGGCACTCCTGCTTCCAGAATATTTTAATACCCAATCTCCAAAACTATTGTCGTGGCCTATTCTGTCCTATACTGTTAAAAAGAGAGAGAGAGAGAGAGAGAGAGAGAGAGAGAGAGAGAGAGAGAGAGAAGAAAAAGAAACATTTGCTTGTTTTTAACTACAACTCAACCTAGTACTTACTAGGCACGGACTCAGAATCATTTTTTCCTTTGTCCTGTGGCAGCTAAATTTTTATTTTCTCATCATGGTGAACAGTGTGTGTCCGGTAATATTTAAACGAATATAAAAATTACCAAAAAAGAAAAAATCTAACTTTTGGCTGTCAGTTACCGATCTGCATTGATAGCTTATAGACACTAGATGGCGATACAGGTGCACCAAATAATAAACATTCCCTTGATTGGTCCAGCATTAAAATCCCAATGATTGAGGCCAGAACAGGTTAACACATTAGTTAAAGAAACAAAGTCAAATATAATCAGGTGTTGGAATGTTAGCTAATACTCCGAATGCGTTCAGTAACCTAATAGTTATTGAAAGAAAAGATTGTTAAACTAGAAATTAATTTATCCTGCTGCTGAGTCTATCTTTAAGCTAATTCTTGGGGGCAAGAGTTGGCAATAAACACACGATCCCTTAAGATGTATCTAATTCATACTTTCATGTCCATCTTTGGCCTTCATTTTTTTTTTTTAAATAGCAATTATTTGGGATGGAGTGTGCCTCACATGTATTATTCATAGATGAAATACTATATTCTGAGGAGGAGTGTGAGTCCTAAGACACTGGCATTTTAAAGGAGAAATGGTCCACTTACTGTAAGCTGTTGGCAGGACCATTATTGACTGGCAGGATCAACTGGAAGCACTTTGTTAGTGGATTAGGTTGCCCTGGAAATGCCTTCCTGAAACTCTAATGATGCACTTAAGGAAGCCCTCTGGGACAGGAGTAAAATGTCTCTTCTCCGGGCGTGTCTTCCCCCGGAGTCCTCTTGGGATGAGCTGGGAGGGGGCTGGGGGACGTCCAAAGAGATGCTCAGTAAAGGCACCGCCCCAGGAAAAGGCTGCAGGTAACCCTGTCTTACAGGTAAGCTAAGATGATGACCTGCTGATGTCAACTCTGGGCTTTCCGGGGGTATCAGGGCCTCCTGTATTCTTTGGAAAGCACATCACTGATTCCGGAGAGACTGTATTCATTCATTCATTCATTCATTCGTGTGCTGGGGGTAGGGTGGCAGAGGGATGGAGAAGAAGGGGGAAACTGAGGGCATCCGAAGGAGAACAGGGTTTAATCCCCTTTGATTTTTAAGGCAAAGCCGCTTTCGTGGCTTGAACACTGGGGTCCTTCGCTGTGCGTTCTTCTTCTCTCTCTCTCTCTCTCTCTCTTTTTTTTTTTTTTTAAAAAAAAGCAACAGAGGGGAAATTTGCCCTTCAGCGGAGATTCGGAGCATGTGCAAAGGGTCGGTTTGTAGATCCTCGGATGCAAAGTCACTGGCGTTTCTGTGGCCGCGGGGTTGGGGTCCCTCCTGGGGAGCGGCGGCGGCGGCGGCGGCGGCGGCGGAGGTGCGGGGGCGGGAGCGAGCGGCCAAGCGGGCGCCGCGGCCGCCTCGGGGCTCGGGCAGGACGCGGAGGGCGGGGTGGGGTGTGGGGGGGGCGGCGGCGGCGGCCGCGAGCAGGACGGAGCGCGAGGCGCGAGCGGCGGCAGGTGCGCGGCGCCCCGGGCGGCCCCGGGACCTCGAGCTGCGCCGCTCTGCGCCGCTCTCCGCCGCTCTCCGCCGCTCTCCGCCGCTGTCCCCAAGCCGTATTCCTTTAAGATGATGTAATAGGCATTTCCCTGGACGGTGTCCCGCCTGCGCCGCCGACACAACAGCCTCCGGGCCGCGCGGGGAGCCGTGGAGCCGCCCAGCCCCGCCGCCCGCCGGAGGAGCCCGCGCCCCGCGCCCCGGCCCCGGCCCCGCGCCTCCCCGCGCCTCCCCGCGGCTCCCGGCGGCTCCCGGCGGCTCCCACCTGCCTGGGAACATGGGAGTCCGCGGCCCGGGCCGGCAGGGGGGGCGGCTGCCTGGGACCCCAGCAGGGCGCCTCTGCCTGTCTTTCTGCTTCTGGGCTTTCTGAAGAGCTGCTAAGTCCCAGGACCTCTTCCAACTCCCTTCTGTTTTCAGGATTCTTTCTAAAGGTCTGATTTTTTTTTTTTTTTTCCCCTCTCTCTCTGTCTCTCCCTTTTTACTGGAGAAGCTTCGGTTAGGGGTTTTCTCTGCCTGGCTTCTTCCACCCGGACACCTCTCCCCACGCTTTAACTTTTTTGTGACTTGTTTCAACTTGAGATTGGGAGTGGATACATTCCTATATACGCACATACAAATATGCATTTATATGAATATTTATATATATATATAATTATTATTTTCTAAGAGCACACCTCTCTGGCACTTTTCATTGATGCCTCCTGTCCTTTACCTCTTTGGGATTTGGCAAGCTCCGGACTCTGTGGCTGTGGATTCTGATTGCTTTGCAAATGGGTATTTCTTCACAGGAACTGGGTTTCCAGCACTCACTAAGGTAAGTTCTGAGACTTATTGTTTTCCTGTCCAGCTTGGAGAGAGGGGAAAAAAAAAAATCAGCTTTAGAAGTTGAAAATCTTCTGTTCCTTTTTAAAGCAGGAATACAGAGAGAAATATTTTTGATACTAATTGCGGGAGACAGAGGCATATGGATAAACATGTAGACACAAAATAGCTTGGGAGAAGCTACAATTTAGTTGAAGAATGGCTGAAATCAGTAGTTCCAGGGCTGCTTATGTAAAATAATCTCTCCCTCCCTCCCCTCCCTCCCTCCCATCCTCCCTCCCTCCCTCCCTCCCATCCTCCCTCCCTCCCTCCCTCTCTCCCTCCCTCTCCTCTCTCCAGTGGTGTCTCTTTTTCTGACTCATGCTGGGTTTGAGGAAATAATTTTCTCTCTTTTCCTTCAGACAGACCTCTGAGTAACTGGGGACTTGGCCTGCCTTGCCTACTGAGCTTGGGGCAGATCGGATGGAGATGAGTTGATGATATGCTATGAAGTAATAGCTCACCACCAGCCAGGGTTTAAACTACTTTCGCAGCATCACTTCACCTGTGGACTCTTCTAAATTTTGCTTTCTTGGGGAAAAAAAAAAAAAAAAACCGGGGTAAGAGAAGGTCGTTTTTTAACAAGTTAGCATCCTTCTTCCTCTTTGACAAGTTGATGCAAAGGATAAGGCTGTGACTCCATTGGATTGCACCTTCAAATCAAAATAGGAGAAGAACAAGAAGAAAGGGACAATGGCTTTGAGTGGAAACTGTAGTCGTTATTATTCTCGAGAACAAGGGGCTGCAGTTCCCAACTCCTTCCCTGAGGTCATGGAGCTGAATGTTGGGGGTCAGGTTTATTTCACCCGCCATTCCACATTAATAAGCATCCCTCATTCCCTTCTGTGGAAAATGTTTTCCCCAAAGAGAGACACGGCTAACGATCTAGCCAAGGACTCCAAAGGAAGGTTTTTCATCGACAGAGATGGATTCTTGTTCCGTTACATTCTGGACTATCTCAGGGACAGGCAGGTGGTCTTGCCTGATCACTTCCCAGAAAGGGGAAGACTGAAAAGGGAGGCTGAGTACTTCCAGCTCCCGGACTTGGTCAAACTCCTGACCCCTGATGAAATCAAGCAAAGCCCGGACGAATTCTGCCATAGTGACTTTGAAGATGCCTCCCAAGGAAGCGACACGAGAATCTGCCCTCCTTCCTCAGTGCTCCCTGCGGACCGCAAATGGGGCTTCATTACGGTGGGCTACAGGGGGTCCTGTACCATGGGCAGAGAGGGGCAGGCAGATGCCAAGTTTCGGAGAGTTCCCCGGATTTTGGTTTGTGGAAGGATTTCCTTGGCAAAAGAGGTCTTTGGAGAAACTTTGAATGAGAGCAGAGACCCTGACCGAGCCCCAGAACGATACACCTCCAGATTTTATCTCAAATTCAAGCATCTGGAAAGGGCTTTTGATATGTTGTCAGAGTGTGGATTCCACATGGTAGCCTGTAACTCCTCTGTAACAGCGTCTTTTGTCAACCAATATACAGATGATAAGATCTGGTCAAGCTATACTGAATATGTCTTCTACCGTAAGTACAAAGGGTTCTTAATGTTTTTCATCTGTATCAATTCTCCTTACAGATGTTTATGGTCTGCATGTCCAGTCAGTGTCTAAGGAATACACTCTGGGATTTTTATTTTAAACTCATGAGGTATATATAGCTAGAGTAGTAGAGGTTCTAATTGAAGTCTCATGTCATATCTAAGGCAACTTTTATCTGTTTTATCAATGACATTAGAGAACATTCAACGGCCTATGCAAATGATACTGGTTTAGATATACTGGGAATGGAAGCAGATATCTCAGATATCGAATTGTGAAGAGAAGATGATGGTTCGATCTTGGCTCTTGGTCCACGGGAGGTTGGCAGACTCAGAGTGGATAAAGTGGTGCTGTCCAATCTTTTGTGTGAACTTTGGGATCTGTTAAGCTGGTTGCTCCAGGCTTGCTTTCACTGGGGCTCTGAGAACACAAATGGCTGTTGCACAGAATGACGTGGTCTCGGCTAGATAGATGGCAGTATAGACTGACAAAAGACCCCCTGGCTCCCCCACTAAGTCTGAAATTTGCTTTTATAGGCTTTACAGATTTGCTGTTTGAGTCTTTAGCATTTTATACTGAGACTTGAGTTGCACTGCGGACTTAATTAAACTAAACTTCATTTAAGACCCATCTAAAAGGAAATAGCTCTTTGAGAACTGTCAATCACAAGCAAATATCTTCAAACACCTGAGGTGATAGAATTACTGACATAAAAGGGAACTAGAGGGGGGAAAATGAGTGGAAACAATTGTTCTGAAGCTTTCTAAGTAAGCCTTTCTTAGAGGTCAATGCATTGGCTTAAGTGACGACTTCTGCTACAGATTGCTTTGTTTTATGAAATGGCATCATTCTAAATAAACTGTAAACTGTTGATTTCTAAAGGGAGAATAGTGAATCAGTCTGTAAAGTTTAGTGCTTGATTTAACAGTAGATTTTCACCAGGGCCTGGGAATGGGGTGAGATGAATTCCCTAAGAAATGTTTCTATTAGCATTCAGTTTCCTCTATTCTTATTTTAAGGCAAATCCATAAATTTGGAGGATTAAAATGTCTAAGTTTTTTAAAACATAAAGGTATGACTGAATTTCTTGGACTGATTTTTGCCAACGGTTGTGTTTCTCCATGTGGAGATGGTGCTGGGAACATGATAAAGAAGCCGGCGGCAAGCTGAGTTGTTCTGTGCTGGGTTTATCACACATTAGATTTTTAGAGGTGAGGACACATGGATTGTGTGGAAAGGACAGCCTGTGGAGCAAAATGAAGTCAGCTATCAGTTCAGGAACATACTGATGTATAATAATAAGCATTATTTGGTCCAACAACCCTATCAATGGCCTTGATCTATAATCTATATCTTCCTGGATGCTGGAGCTTAGTCACCAGATACTGCTTTTCTTTCTTTGGGTGTAGAGATAAGACTGTAGCTTTTTAGCCTTCTGTGAAGGAATCTGACATTATCTGTATTTCTGTAGAACAAATATCTGTTCCTAAGTTTTTGGAAAAATGCATCTTAGAAAGAGTTCAAATCTACGTTTGTGATATTTACCTGGTTCTGCAATTTCTAATATTTGAATGTAGCACTCTGCGAGGCTTTAGACAAGTAAATGAAAACATACCAACCATAATCCCCACAAAAAAGACATTAGATTTCTGTCACTTACTCATCTAAATGAGACCCCAAACCTGAAATGTATTTGCCTGTTAGCTCACTGACATTTGTGTGTTCATCAAAGACTCATCCGTCTAACACCATGTCCTCTTTATATTGCTCTGAACAGGTTCTGCTCTGCTGATCATATAATTGCTTCCTTCTTTGTTGAGTTGCTGAGAGGTTGCTGAGGAGCAGTTTGCTCTCCATCACTCATGGACAGGCTAGCATAAACAATGCAACTTCATATTGCACAGCATATATATTTTATGTGATATACTTCCCTTTGTACCTAACATCCCAAGCTAAGTATTAACTCTTCCTCTGTCTTAGGACCAATAAAGCTGACAGCTGGCTTTCTAGGGTGCATAACAGCTTCTGTGCAGACGTTTAACCATAATTATTTAATTAGAAGCTGCCAACTGTGCCTATATAAGCATTAATTCATCAAGCTGTTGTGCTCGGGTTAATGGGCCGAAACTATGGGAGGTGCTCTAAAACAGGGAGTTGACTCTGCAAAGATGCTCTTCATCCAGCACTAGCCCTGCCCGGCCTTGCCCAGCCCTGCCCAGCCCTGCATAGCACTGCCCAGCATGGAGCCCCGATGTGCACTGTGCAAGCAGAGCACTTGGAACCACCACTTCAAGATTGGAAGGGGCCGCATGTGTCCCCAGGAGCATCTCCACATCATTATATTAAAAAACAAACAAAACAAAACAAACAAACAAAACAACTACCAGCCAACCAGCAAACAAACAAAAAAAAATGCTCTTCAAAAAGAAATTCAACTTCCTCTTTGGTTGGAAAAATTATATTGTATATACAAACTCCTTAGATCCAAGCAATCAGACTCTTCTAATAGTGTGGGGATATTGCAAAGTCATTTTGCCTGGATCCATATCACAGTAAAAAATGAACAATGAGAAATAAATACATTCATAGGTTGGCTGACAGTCATGAGGGGAGACTCCTTTCTTCCCGTGTTTGCCTCATTTTCTTCCAAGTTTTCCAAGGTGAAATTGAGAGACCAAAATCTCCCTGTCAATCATTAACAGATTAGATTCTTGCTTTTAATCTTAATATAGACTTAGAATTGATGGTGAAATTCAGGTAGACTGTATGGTTAATGTAGAACTATGAACAATTAAAGTCAACAGGTGTTCATATGTGTTTAAGAAGGTGATAAGAAATGTGTCTACATTACTTACACACCAAAATATGATATGTGAGATGGTATGGATTATGATTCACTTATCAGCAACCAGGAAAATGTGATTGATGTATCATAAAGAAACATCTGGAATAAAAAGAAAAGAAAAAATATATGTAGGGGTGCCTGGGTGGTTCCGTCAGTTAGGTGTCCAACTCTTGGTTTCGGCTCAGGTCCTGATCTCATAGATCATGGGATCGAGTGAGCCCCACACTGGGCTCTGTACTCAGTGGGAGTCTGCTTGGATATTCTCTCCCTCTGCCCCTTCTTCTGCTCTCTCTCTCTCTCTCTCTCTCAAATAAATACATCTTTAAAGAGAGAGAGAGAGAGAGAGAGAGATAACTAGCCAGGATTGCCTCACAAAGCATTTTAGATATGTCCTTTGTTTTAATTTAAAACAATGTGAATGTGGGGCAGCCCGGGTAGCTCAGTGGTTTAGTGCCATCTGTAGCCCAGAGTCTGATCCTGGAGACCCGGCATCTAGTCCCACGTCGGGCTCTCTGCATGGAGCCTGCTTCTCCCTCTGCCTGTGTCTCTGCCTCTCTCTCTCTCTCTCTCTCTCTCTGTGTGTGTGTCTCTCATGAATAAATAAATAAAATCTTAAAAAAAACAATGAGAATGTACCTTTCCTTTTCTACCATCCCACTAGCTAAATAATTACCTCTTTTTTCTCTTCAGGCATTACAGGAAGGCAATACCATAAACATCAGATAATGCCTCCTTGACTCACCTGTAAATGTATTGGGAGCTGAGTAATTTGGAAAAGAGAAGTCCTGATTTTGAACCAGATACTCAATGGCTATTCATGCCAATGAGGAACAAAATCACAGGTGCAGAAAATAAATGAATCTGTTCGTTAGAGCCATCTTCCAATGCTTGAGATTAAGAAGACTATTCTTGGTTGGAGAGAACTATACACATTTTTAAAATCCTGCTCATGAGTGAGTTACTTCAGACAAATGCCTGAAATACTCAAAATCAAAGGAATTTGCCTTTAATTTTACTGTGATAACTTGACAAGTAGGGAGTTTAATTCATAGGATGCACACTCCAAAAACATCCCCTCTGAGTTCTGTGAATTATAGTAGAGACACCGACTCATCGCCTTTTCAACAAATTGCTGCTTGTCGGTGCATTTTCATCTTCTCTTTACTTCATTTCCTTAAATTTAAAGGTTGTTTCCACAAAACTCTCTAAATTGCTTTATACACTGTTAATCTTAAAAATGAAGCTGCTAGTTATTTTACCAGCAAAACTAGGTTTATTTGGAAATAGTAGAAAATTGCAATTCAGGATAAGCAAACGAAGGCAAAACCATAGGCAAGTTAGAGAACAAAGGGGAGAAATTCTCTTTTATGGAAGAGGAGGAGGGTAGTATCTAGAAGGGCTGTTATAAACAGAAGCCCATTGGAGTAAACTGGGAGTTTGCAGTATAGTGGCTTTTCATTGGCTCAGTTGTGTTAGTCTCTTTTTGGCTGGGCCAGGGGAGTAGCCAACCTTTTGCCCTCCTGGGGGGTGGTAAAGCAGTATGGACTTGCAAGGTCTTCTCTTCCTTCTGAGTCTGCAGTTGATGACACATGGTAGGGTGTAAGTTTCCCCTTCTAGAATCTGGATTCCAGTTTAAATGAGGTTTCCTTTTTTAAAATAGTACACAGTACTTCAGGGTTGTTGACTGAGATGGGGTGTTGGAGAAAAATCTATCAGAAAATGAGTTCTCAGAATTCAACTGCATGACCTTGTATTGGGAAGAAGTATGTGGTTGTGGCTGCTGCCAGCCAATAACTTACCCAACATTGACTTTAGAAGCTTCGTTAAAGGGAGAGGGAGATGGTGTGTTCTTAACAGGTAGAAATGCAGCCATCCTGAAATGATTCTAGATCTTTTCCTATTGGTTACTCAAAAGATAGCAATGATAATTTCTATTTTTACTGCTCATAGAAATATGATGTTGGTACATTCAAAAAGAAGCGACAGAGCAATGTAGTCAGAACTGTGAAGGTTTGGTCTTTACCACCATCTACCTCTCCTCTTTCTGTGTTGTTCTTCTGTCTTCTCCATCTTAGAGACTCTCCTAGTCCTGTTTTAGTCATTTCTGCTTTTGAGTTCTTTCTAGCCATTGTCAGTAAAAA